AAAGAAAGAAAAAGAAAAAAAAGAAATGTATGTACCTTAAAAAAAATCCTAGCTGGACATGGTGGTATATACATTTAACCCCAAGACTCGGGAAGCAGAGGCAGAGGCAGAGGCAGAGGCAGGAGGATCTAAGAGGGAGGCAAAGTGAGTGGATGTCTTACTTTGAATGAGGGGAAAGTCTGTGGTTTTGTTTTTTTGTTTCTTTGAGATAGGGTTTCTCTGTGTGGCCCTGGCCATCCTGGAACTTGCTCTGTAGACCAGGCTGGCCTCTCAGAGATTTGCCTGTCTCTGCCTCCTGAGTGCAGGAATTAAAGGTGTGCACCATCACGACCACCAGGCAAAAGTCTGTGTTTTTTAACATTTTCCCATCTCCACTTGAAGTCAACTGTTATTGTTATAAGAATACAAATAGTTAATGCATGGAACTATTCTTATCAAATGACTAGTAAACATGGAAATGGAATGGCTGAGTTATGGCTCAGGTTTGCCACTCATTCACTGGAAGACATTGCCCAATATTTAACCTTCTTAAACTCCCGCTTCCTAATTTACTGCCTGAAAAGAATGAAAACACTTGTCCTACCACTTCATGTTTATTATAGGGATCACTGAAATTATATAAATTACTTCATATAAATAAAAATCATTGTAAAACTCTTATTCTGAATTATTCTTATAAAGATTATTATGTAACGTCTATTGTGTTCTTTATATGCCAAAATTCATGGAGCACCCTGCTATGTGCACAACACCTGTACTTTTACAGCCACCTCTCTTCATAGACTATCTTCAGTGTAACTACTGCCCAAATCTCTCTGTGTGCCACTAAGCCACAAAGCCATGAGGGTTAAAGCCATGTTTTCATGTCCACCATCGCATTCTAAGTGCCTCACACAGACTCAGGTAATAAAGAACCCGTCCTCATAGAGGAGAAGCTCCTTCTTATAGGCTTCTGGCTCAGCAGGAAGGACAGATAAAGAAGATGCTTCCCAGCAGCTATACCTACACCTCCAAACTGACTGCTAAGACTGGAAAGAGGCAACGGAAGACACTGACGATTACACAGCTGAAAAGAGACTAACCATGCTATCTACTAACACACACACACAAACACACACACATAAACTCACCATCATATTTTGCCAGGACTGCCTGAACATCTGCATAGGCCTGCAATTCTAGAAGTGATTCTAAGAGGTTTTCATGGATGTTCAACATGGTAAGAGGAGGAAATTCTTTCATCAACTGTATATTAAAGAAGGAAAAAAATCAAAACAAATCATGATAGAAAACTCAGAGGAGCTGAACCAGGTTTGTTAAAGTATAAATTATTTTGCTTTTTTTACAAAGTTATAAACACCTAAACCTTAAGAAATGTATGCACATTAAAAATATCCTTGTTGGGCATGGGGGCACACATCTTTAATCCCACTCAGGAGGCAGAGGCAGGTGGATCTCTGTAAGTTTAAGGCCAGTCTGGTCTACAGAGAGTTTCAGGCCAACCAGAGCTACAAGGTGAGACCCTGTCTCAAGAAATAAATTAAATAGATAAATAAATAAAATATACTATCTTGTTATAGAAATGGGCAACTGAAAAACAATGCATTAAAATAACTGATAATTTTTTTAGTCTTGGGGACTATAGAAATAATGGTTCTGTTATCAAATTTACTCACATCTCTCATTATTTTCACTGCTTCTCTTATTCTTCCCAATTTTCTTGCACACATTGCCAATCTTCTTTTTATATATACAAGTACATTGGTATCTCGCCCTATTTAGAAAAATAAGAAAATGATACAACTATCACTTTTTGGATTATGACCTGACATTTCATTAAAATGTTATCCACTAAAAAAATATTATCCACTAATTTTATTTGCTTATCCTGAAAAGCCTATTAAAATTAAATTTAATTTATACCAGAATGCATTATTATTTTATTAGTGAATATTAAATTTAGGAGATAAATAAGAAATGTTCTCTACTTTTATGTGTGCTTTCAATATTAAACACTTAAAATATATACTTAATTACTTTTTCCTCTAGTAGTAAGCAATTTGAATGTAGTATATTTGATGAGTTTAATACTGGCAGAAAACAAGTAGATATTAATAGAAAGATATATTTGTCTATCTCAGTTTCTGTATAAACAATCTATAATTTTAGTTCTATTATTTTGGCCCAAAGATCCTAAATGCCCTAAACAAAATTCCATGAATAATATAAACTTTAAGTTAATAATTAATTAAAAAATTATTACTAGAAAGCGCTAAGAGAAAAGCTTTATTATGGGCCAGTGAGATGGCTCAACAGGTAAAAGATGCTTGCTTGTCAATCTTGCTGACTGAGTTTAATCCCTGGGATCCACATGGTAGAAGGAGAAAACTGGCACACAAGTTGTTTTCTGACTTCTATGCACGCATGTGTGCATGCACACATATACACATAAAAATATACATACACAAATAAGTATAATTTTTAAAATTAAAAATTCTACAAGATAACCACATCTGGTATTATGCAAGGGGAAACAGAAAGAGGTTTTTATAGATGTAGTTTCATTAGTTCCAGGCTGCAATATTAACTATTCCCATAGTTTTGTATAATAACATGCCTTAATGAAATATATTGTAAACACAAGTATTTAACTGAGAGAAAACATTAGCCAAATTTTAATTTCCATAAACAAAAGATGTGGAACTTTGCTGCTAAGAGATAATGCCTTGTGTAAACATATTTCAATTTATTGCCCAGTATCTGCCAAAATCATGAAACTAAAACCCCCTGGCCACAAATCTCAGCCAGAAACAGCAACACTGCCGATTCTAACAGCTTTGGTAAGTGTCGCAACCCTAACCAGAAGAGCATCTCCAAAAGAAAACAGTCCCTGTGTTTCATCCTATCTCAAGCATGCTGGAGAAAAATCAACCAAAAAAGAACCACTGTCACATACGAGACTGGAGTACGGACTGAAAATCAGATGGTGTCACAAGAGCAATCCCTAAAAAGGATCCCAAGTTCAGAGACAACCTGGGCTATAATAGGAAGACCCCGCCTTAAAGCAAAATAAAACAAAACAACCAACCAAACAAAAACAACAGGAAGAGAGAGGAATAAAGGAAGAAAAGAAGAAAGGAGAGCAAAGTGGAAAAGGGAAGGAACCACCCTTGGGCACCACATACAGAGCCATAGACCGAAGAGGAAACACAATGAGGGTTAGAAGTAATAGAGCAGAAATATGAATCTATCAGTTGTTCTATGAAAAATATCAAACTTTTACATATTTTTTATTATTGTTGTTTCATGCTTTAAACACAAAGTTCAGGAGCTAAAGACAAAATCTGGGCCTAGTAGCACATGACTATAATCCCAGCACAGGAGGGAAGATCAGTGCTGGGTTATCCTCATCTACATGGCAAATCTGAGGCTAACACTTCAAGAAACCAAAAGGGAGGAAAAAAAAAAGAGGAACGACAGCCAGTTCAAGTTTGCTTACTCAGTTGAGCTTCATGCTGAGGACTCTGGTGCTGGCACTGCTGTGACCGTCTATAAATTATCTCCCCCGCCCTGAGCGCCTGTTTAAATAACTTTTCAGCATCTACGATGGTTGTTGCTTCCTCTTCAGCCAGCAGAACGTAGGCAGTGGCACAGCTATAAAGCAAGCAAGGCTATGTTAAGTACTGGACAGGCCTCTTGCTATGTCATGCTTCCCTCATCCGTACCTACACTCTCCATCTTTGAGGAGGAAAATAAAACGTCATTCAGAATTTTAAGTCACTAGGGGTACACTAGCGTATTATGTCCAACCCCACAATGTTTCTTCCACTATTTTCTGTCTTTTCTATTTCTAGCTCTGTTCTCTGACCCTGTGTTTTCTTTTTGTGGAAGGGGGAATAAGAAAGATACATAAAACGTCGTCTAAAGAAGTAGCTGTAAGGACCACACCACCCACTGGTCAGGCCTGCTCTCGGGCTCTGCTTGCTCTGCAATGTCCACACCATGTGGATACGAAGGGAGTGCACACTGAGAAGGCTTGCTTGGCTAATGAGGGCTCTCCATATCTGACCAGGAACATTCCTACCCTGACCCTTTTCTACAAATCCAAGTTTTCTCTCTGTGTCTTATCCTCCACAGGGCTGCATTCCAGGCCTTCCTCTCATACACCTACGCTCAACTCACACCCATGTTTACCCCAAGCTTCCTTTTCTTCACCCTGATAAAACACAGAGATTTTTGTTTGTATCTTTAAAGTCAACAGCTGGCCAATAAAATAAACTAATTCTTGGCTTTGGGCAATAAAGAAAAACAAAGTCTGCCTTCCATGTATTTGCAGACAAGTACATTTAGTTTGAAGATGATGTCTTAGTTCTGCTTGTCCAGGCCTGCACAGTCCAACACTCAAGTCAGTAGCCACAAGGAGTTTCTGAGCACCTGAAATGCGCTTAATCAGACTGACACGGCATGTTGGTGCATCTTAGATTTTAAAGACTGAGAAAATGTAAAATGCCTCATTGACAAGGCTTTTAAAATATTGATCATAATGTGAAAATGTTTTATATTTTGAATCTAGACAATTGAGACACCCAAACTAACTTCTTTTAACTTTTCATAGCTAAAAAGTTACATATATGGTTCACATGTTCCAATTAAACAGAGATTATTGGCAACAAATGCAAGGGCAGGCATGAAACACAGTGACAGTGAGTAGCTAGCATCCACATTTACAATTCCAACACTTAAAACCCTGAGGTAGGAGGACCTGGAGTTTGGGGACAGCGTTAACTATATAGGAGTACCTATGTCCTCTGGGTTCTATGACAGGCCCCTGTCTACTACTGAAGAATAAAAGAAAAAGGTACCCATCCTCAATGAGGGACAAGAAGGGCCTTTCAGATATAAAAATCAAATCACACCACTATGGTATTTTTCAAATGGCACTGTAACTTTATATATATAAAATGTTACTAATCAACACATTTCTCCCATGTATAACACTGGACTTTGATAAAACACTAGATACATTGCTGGTTTAAACACTAGGTACCCTGCTTGCTGTTCCAAAAGCAAATTCAATGTTGTTTGCAATAGAATCTTGCAACACAGCCCAGGCTAGCCTTGAACTCTCATTCTCCTGACTCAGCTTCTCAAGTGCTGGTAATTACAGATGTATGTCACAATGCCCATTATCAAATATTTGCATTTAATGTTTTGTTTCAAAAACTTTTAAATAACCAGGATAGAAATATTTCTGTAGGGCTGGGGGTGTAGCAGTGGTATAGCACTTGCCTACCATGCTTGAGGCCCTGGGTTCGATCCCAGCACTGCAAAACAAAACAAAATACCACTTGTACAAAAACCTTGATAAAACTGATGAAACAGAATCTAAATATAAACATAATTTTATTTTAGTTTTGTGTTACTGGGGATAAAACTCAGGAACTCACATGGTAGGCAATGTTTACCATTAGATACATCCTCAGCTCCTAATATAACTTTAAATTACAAGCCAGGTCTGGCAGCACAGGCCTGTAATCCCAGTTTCTCAGAAGACTGAGGCAGGAAGGTCACAAGTTCAAGGACTGCCTGGGCAAATTAGTAAGACTGTCTCAAAAAGTGAATAAAGGGGTCTGGAAATGTGGCTCAAGGACAAAGCACTTGTCTATCATGTGCAAGGCCTGGATTCCACCCCCAGTACTGCCACCACCACCATCACTGCCACCAAACCACATCCTAGGTTATAGTTTGTGCTTCCTGGCAACTTTGCCTTCTATTCTTGCATTAGATATGTTATTACAAGAAATTAGTCCTATGTATACCTAATGACTTCTTTTTGTCTTAAACTGGGGATAAATTCACATGCCTGTATAAAATTTCAGGTATTTAACTTTTATTATGTGTGCCTGTGTGTACATCCCAGTACCCATGTGGAGGTCAGAGGACAACTCGTGGGATTTGGTTCTCTCCTTCCACCATGGAGGTCCTGGGATCAAAGTCAAGCCATCAGCTTGGCTGCTGGTACCTTTACCAGCTGAGCCATCTTGCAGGCCCACCAGTGCAAAACATTTTCAACTGCAAAATTCAGAAACTTTTACTATATTCTTAAGGTCGTGCAACTATAACAGGTACACATAGCATCTTCATCACCCCCAAAGCACCATGCCCTTTCAGCAGTTCCACTGTCTCTCCTGCCTCCCTGCCCACAGTCACACAGCACCTCTTCAATGTGCCCTTTGGTGCACAGAGGTTTTGCTTTAATAAGGCAGTTTACCTACTTTTTCTTCTATTGCTCCTGCCTTTGTTGTTGTGTCTGTTAAGTCACTGGGAAACCTGGGGACATAAGACTATCCCTCATGTCCTCTCCTCTCTTTTACAGGGCAAAGTTGCAGGGTTGCAAGCACACTAGGCAAGAACTCTACCACTGACCTGCATCCCTAACCCAGTCCATGTTCTCTTATAAGAGTTTATACTTTAATTACTTATTTTTTAATTAATTGATATGTATATGAAACATAAGGGTCCACTGTCAGCTTGTAGATGTAACTATCCAATTGTTCAGCACTGTGTTAAAAACTACTACTACTTTCTTCTTCCTCTTCTTCTTTTTCTTCTTCCTCTTCCTCCTCTTCTTCCTCCTTTTCTTCTTTTCTCCTCCTCTTCCTCTTCTTCAGTTTGGTTTTGGCTTTTCAAGACAGGGTTTCTTTGTATAGTCTTGTCTGTTCTGGAACTCTCTCTGTAGACCAGGCTTGCCTCAAACTCATAGAGATCTACCTGCCTCTGCCTCCCAAATGCTGGGATTACAGACATATGTCACCATAGCCCAACTTTAAAGACTTCTCTTTTTTTTTGAATAGCCTTGGTACCTCCATCAAAAATCAACCGAAAGACCATAAATATATGGGCTTACTTTCCAGTAAGTCTAAGTAAGTCAGTCTAGGCATTTAATCTTATGGTTTAACCATCTGGTTTTGTAGAAAGTTTTAAAATCTGAGTCTTCTAATGTGGTCCTAGGATTTTTTGGCTACTTAGGTTCTTTTGCAACTACACACAAATGTTAAGACCAGCTTGTCAATTTCTGCAAAATAGTAATGGAGATTTTAATTATTTTTATTTTAATATTTTACATGTATGAGTGTTTTGCCTGCATGTGTATGTATCAATGCATGTAATACCCATGGAGACCAGAAGAGGGTGTTGGATCCTCCCAGAAGTGGAAGTAGCCTCAGATGATTGTGAGCTGCCACATGGCTGTCTGAGATCAAATCAGGGTCCTCTGGAAAGTGCTCTTAACAACTGGCCCTTCTCTCTGGCTCCAGCAGTACTAACTTTAATAGGAGATAGATTAAATCTGCAGATTGATATAGGGGAGCACTGACATTTCAGTTAAAGATATTGAACTTGTGTCATATATGAATACATATATATATACACACACACACACACATATAGATCAGCTTTTCTTTCTTTTCTTTTTTTCTTTGCTGCTTGAATAACATTTTGTGGGGTTTCAAGTTGTTTTTAATTACTTTGAGCACATAAATGTAAGCACACATATACCACCACATTCTTATAAATCAGAAGATGACTGTTGGGGGTCAGTTCTCTTCTTCCTAGGTTCTGGGGTCACGCTCAGGTCAGCAGACAGACCTGCGTCTCCCCAGCTGTTTTCTAATTCTCAGTGTGCAAGCCTCACACTTTCTTGGCCAAACTTACCCCTAAGCACTTTCATATGCTAGATGCCATTGTAAATGGAATTGCTAACTTTTTACTCGTATTTAACCTAGATTATAAGCACTGAGAGGATTCTGTTTGTGTGACCTTCTTAAGGTTTTCTAGACATATGGTCACACCACCTGTGAATAAAGACAGTTTACTTCTTCCTTTCAAATCTGGATACATTTTTCCCTTACCTTGCCTAACTGCGCTTGTTAGGGGTTCTAATAACATGTAAACAGAAGCAGTGAGGGCAGGCATCCTTGCCTTCCTGGTTTAAACAGCTCGCAGTCTTTCATAACTAAGTGTCCTTAGGTTCTGGCTTTTCAGAGATCCCTCATTAATTTGAGCAGGATTCCTTACATCTACAATATTTCTTAGTATTTATCATAAAATGTTGGGTTTTTGTCAAATACCTTTTTAACAAACTAAGATAACTTGTAGGTTTTGCACTTTGCCCTATTAATGCAATATGTTACATTAATTAGTTTCACATATTTTTGTCATGACAGTACCGAACTGTCAGAGGCTTTTTCTGTACCAGCTGAGACAATCATGTAGATTCCTCCCTTCATGTGTTGAAACTCTTTAATTGTAACAAACCCCACTTGGTCCTCATGTATATTTTCCAAATGCTGCTGGATTCGGTGTGTTAATATTTTGGTTTGGCTATTATTTCTTCAAATATTATTTCTGCCCTGTTTTCTTCTCTCCCATACTTCAGGGGCTCCAGTTATATGTAGGGCAGCATGACTGCCTGCCCCACAGGGCTCATATTCCTACTTCTGAGACTACATAAGCTCAAAGGGCCTAACACAGCTTTGCTGACTCTTCTGTCTGCTTAGATCGGTACAGAGCTCCCTACAGTACATTTTTACTTTAGCTGTATTTTTCAATCCTAGGATTTCCTCTTAGTCCCTTATGTGCCCAGCTGCACTTACTGGGATTTCAAAAATATATTGATAATTTTCTAATGGTGAAACATCACCATAGACTTTTCTTGTTATTTTTACCTTTTTGAACAAATTTAAAGTAGATGATTTAAGATCTGTGAAGTCAAAAGTCCAGACTTCTTTGGAAAGATTTCCATGGATACTTTTCCTCATTTTTGTTCTGTTGTTTCTTTGAATGCTGGTTTCTGTTGTTTTGTTTGGTAACAGGGCCTGGCTGTAGCCCAGGCTAATCCAGAGTTCAGTTACAGCTTCCTGACTGCTGAGATTGGAAGCATCTGCCACCCCACCCATGTTCTTTGCAGGCTTCATAATTTTCGGTTGAAAATTGTCATTTTAAACTCTAATATTCTGGCAACTCTAGAATGGGATTTTCTGTAACCTCTCTGTTGTTGCTGCCATTGTAGTTGTTTGTTTCCTGGCTTTCCTGATGATTTTGTTAATTCTTTACTCTTCCATGTGTGACCAATAAGGTGGGTGCTTGGTTAGCATAGTGGTCGATTAATTATCAGATAAAGTTTTCTTAAATATCTAGGGAAAAAGTACAAAAACAAAGTCTCCGAGGAAGGCTCTCTCTGTCTCTCTCTCTCTCTGTGCACCAGGGTGCACTTTCAACATTCACTCAGGTATTTTACAACTACCATAGCTGTCATTGCTCACTGGTGCCAGCCTCAATATTATCCAGATAGAGCATTCCTCACATATCTAACATTTTTTAGTAATTTTATCATAAAATGCTGTTGGATTTGGTCAATTTTTTTTTCATGAATTAAGATAATGTATGGGCTTAAAAGGCCTTGAAAACCAAGTATTTCTGAGCATGTGCCCAACTCTGTGAAAAATTGGGTCATTGAGGCTCCCGGAATCTGTGGAAGCTTTCCAAGGTCTCCAGTGTCTCACTCCCTGACCTTTCCTCACAAATTTTCTGGTTTCTCTATTTTCTTGTCCCTACATTTGTTTTATTCTTTGCATCAGACAGCTAACAACACATTTTTCTATTTTTTTGTATGTTCAATTCAGAGAATCTTAAGGTAACTGACACAGGGCAAACCCTTTGTGCCGGTGCTTCAAAGAATCATCATACTAGTAAAAACCAACAATTTTAGTTCTGTTCCACACTATACATCTCTGTCTGTTCCTGCACTATACACACCTGTCCATTCTGCACTATACACCTGTCTGTTCCTACACTACACACCTCTGTCTGTTCTTGCACTATACACCTGTTTGTTCCTGCACTATACACCTGTCTGTTCCTGCACTATACACACCTGTCTGTTCCTGCACTACACACCTGTCTGTTCCTGTACTACACACCTGTCTGTTCCTGCACTATACACCTGTCTGTTCCTGCACTACACACCTGTCTGTTCCCGCACTATACACCTGTCTGTTCCTGCACTATACACCTGTCTGTTCCTGCACTACACACCTGTCTGTTCCCGCACTATACACCTCTGTCTGGCTGTGCATTTTGTCTTTAAGAATGCCCCTGAGTTAGAGTGGAGAATGAGTTCCCTTGTATTTAGGTACTTTGCACTTGACTGAGCGATCATCAGGTTACTTCAGTAAAGCTCTGATATTTAGTGCCATAAGTCAGTCAAACTCTGGTCAGCCAGTCACTAGGTGGAGAGCACTGCCATTATTTTGCTTACTCAGGAGGATCTTTTTACAACAGGAAAGGAACAAGGGAAACTCTAGATTCATATTAGCCAGGAGCTATTCTTTGAATGGTCCCACCTGACATTTATTTAGGATATATTCAATTAAAAGTCACTGATCTGTGCCATTTATACACTAACTAGCTGTTTTACATTTTTGTACTCTTAAGATAAATAGATAATCTAAAAAGCTATGTAAATAAATGCTGTTAACATGGAAAAAACTGACAGCTATTTTGCTAATTTTGAATCCTCTTATTATGTCTCAGAGCCCATTGCTGAGTATAAGTTCCCAGGACTGATGAGTGCTTTAAATGAATGAATTAAATGAAAAACAAAATAAAACAGTGGCATAAATATTTAATTACTCATTTAACTAATAAGGATTATTAGCATTCTTTGTTAGTAATCTGTATTTTAAAAAGAATTTCTAAAATACTTTTATGGAAAACCATATGTGCAATTTACACTTTCAAAAGCAAAATACAGACATCATTGAACACTGAGAATCTGGTCTCCAGTATGCGAGACAGGAATGGAGATGCCAGTGTTCCTAATCTTATGAGCAGATAAAGGAAATACAAAATTATTTGCCTGTGTTTCCTTTAAAACAAATTTATTTTTCCAACTTACTCATTGTTTAACTCTAAAGCTTGATAGGCTGCTTTGATTCGAGCTGGAGGATTTCTTTCCCTCCATGCCTTCTGCATAACTGTGGGAAAAATATTTCAGAGAGTGGATGAGATGGTAAACATAAATAATCTTATGTAAACGTATGAGGAATGAGCTAAAAGAGTAAACAAAGCTATAAATACCATGTTTTTAAACATATGAAACTGGGTTACTAACTCACATTTACATGAGAAATTTATTTTAAATCTGGAACCTTTGCATATAATAAAAATATTCTATGATCTATTTGCATAGCACATAAAGCACTTTAACTGAATTAATCACATCATATTTACGCATGACATTATGTATCTAAGTGGACGTCAAAACTGAGCTGGAGTGACACTAGATTATAATAGACATGACAGCCCTGCTTTCACTGTTCTGAAAAGGCCTGTGGAACCACTAAGAATACACAAAAGCTAAGCAGTCTTTGTTTAATCTAATCAATGATTCAGCATAGGAAAATGTGTAGATGTGCATTTTCTATGAAAACTGGGAAGGAAGACTGGGATAATTTAGAATACAGCCCAGCTTTGGAAAACCTCAGCTTTATCAAGATTCAAAACTAACCTGAGTTAGGATTTCTCTGGAATAATGGGATGGGTTTTGCTACCATTTGCTGAACCAAAATGAAGATATCATGCTCCATGATGTCTCCTAAAAGCTAAACACACACACACACACAAAGTAGATTCTGGGAAATACCTGGCTTACTTTATATTTGATAAGAAAAATGGAGAACTTATAAATGTTGACTTTGGAACAAAACCTACAACTGTCCAGAAAGAATAATGTGGAAAATGTTTGAGTTTTCCTTTGGAAACAAAATATTAGTTTTGGCTCAGAAATGAGACAATATATTCCACATGTGTAACAAAAATACATTTTTCATATCAAACATGTCACCAGCTAGCTGACAGCTAATGCTTCCTGAACTTGACAAATTGATGCAAGGCAGCACTGCCTGATTCTGACCAGGTAAAGAGCACCGTCTGCCACAACACTAAAGTAGGACATAGAGACAGACTATGGTACTAATACCATAGTCTTGTAAACCTTTGATGATAGGACTCTACTATAAACTGTATGGCATTTACAGGCCAAATTTTAATGCCAAATCTTTACCAGCATTTGAGGTGATTATATAATATCCTGGTACATAATAATTTATCTATTATTATTCCCTTTCAATGAAAAGTTATTTCCAGTGCTTTCCCATTATTAAAACATAATAAACTATGCATAAGAGATCTTGGAGGGTGGAAGCAGGAGGATCCAGAGTGCAAGGTCGTCCTGAGCTATGCAGAGAATTTGAGTTCAACCTACAAGAAACTCTGCCCCAAACACGAAGCACAGCAAAACAAACAAACAAACAAAAAACCCAACACATTGTGATAACAATCATTCAGCCAGTAGGGTAGTGAAAACCTCTTATCTAGCATTCTGGAGGCTGAGGCAGGAGGATCACTATGAATTTGAGGCCAGCCAGGACTATACTGCAAGTACCAGCTTAGCCAGGGCTACAAAGCAATATCCTGACTTAAACGAACAAGCAAAAATGGCCAGGAATAAAGTTCAGTAATAAAAAAAATTGTCTAGCATGCTTGAAATCCAGACTTAGTCCTCAGTACTGCAATACAAAACAACAAAACACAAAACAAACAAAAAAAATCTTTCAGCTTCTATCTTTGTACAGATGACTAAATATTTCTTTGTTTAAATAGGTACAGCATTTAAAGGAGTTTGGATATATACACTCAAATTCCATTCAATAAAATTATTAATTTGTGGTTTGAGGCCACACAGGAAAGTGACCATTTCCCCAGTTTCTTACCCTTCAAGCCACGTTGAGCATCACTATATAAAACTTCAAAATATAAAACATATAAAAGTGGAAAACCAAAAGTGGAAAAATCAGCACCTGACTGCAGTCAAAACACAGGCACAATAAGAAGGGTATGGGGGCATATGCCTGTCATCACAGAATGTAGGCAGTCCAGGCAGGCGCTCAAGGCCAGTGTTGGCTACTTAAAAAGTTAAAGACTAGACAGGGCTATATAAGCCCTTATCTCTACAAACCAATATCGAAACAACACACAAAAATTATTTCCACCTATGTGTATAAAACATATATGAAACAAGAATTCTGAGTTTAGATTTGAGTCCCATTCTCAAGATAGATCATTATGCACATACAAATATCTCAAATATTAAAGAACATCTAAAGGACACTCTGGTCCCTAGCATTTCAGAAAAGGGCTACTCAGTTTACATTATAAATCTTGGTTAATTTAACACATGAAGACAATTTTTTATTTCTACTGTGTTTGTTTGTTTTTGCCTTTTGTTTTTATTTGTTTGAGATATGGTTTCTCTGTGCATCCTCGCCTGTCCTGGAACTCGCTCTGAAGACAAGGATGGCCACGAACTCACAGAGATCCTTTTTCATTTCTAAGGAATCTATGTAATGCATCTTTAAGCATGTTTTGTTATTCTTGTGTTTTCAAATCCTCTGCCATCCCTACCTTTCAAGATTGCTCTTTACAACCAAGGTATTCCTAAATCTAAAGAGAAAGGGGAAATACAAATTTAAAAATGGATTAAAGGCTGAGTGGTGGTGGCAAACACCATTAATCCCAGCACTCAGGAGGCAGAAGCAGGTGGGTCTCTGTAAATTTGAACAGACTAGTCTACAGAGTGAGTTCCAGGACAGTCAGGGCTATTACACAGAGAAACCCTGTCTTTTACAAAAAAAAAAGACTTAAAAAAAAAACCCAAGGCCTAAAAATAATTTAAATCAAAATACTGATTTATTATTCAATACTGCTAAGAGCTCATGATATGCTTAAAATAATTAAAACACAAAAAATTTCACCCAGATTTATCTATTTTTTCAATTAATATTTGCAATATTCTTATTAGCACAAAAAAGAACTGCACCTATCTGCGGGTCAAGAACCACAGATGCTCAGCCCTAGCTGACCACAGTCAGTGGACTCGCAGGTCCACTCCCATATTTTTCAGCTTCCATTAAAGTATAAAGCTGGACACTAATGAGCCATCTCTTGAGGCTTTGGCTGTCTAGTGTGTCGTTTGCTCTCTGAGACAGGCTCACCGGTGTTGCCCCGTACTCCATCATCCTCCTACCTCGACCTCGTTAGCAGCCGGGACCACAGGTATACACAGCTCGGCTAACATCCTGATTTCTAGGTTTTCAAAGTGAAAACATATTCAAAGTGCACCACTACCTAGCTCTTGAGGGAATGCTTATTCTCAGATTTAAATCAACAGATCAGTTAGATGAGAGCAAAATCTAATATAGTGACTACTGATGACAATAAGAGAAGGGAAATTTACCACATCTCACTTGTGCATGTTTGTCTTTTTTACCATAAAGAGCTGTACTGATGTAAATCGTTGCCTTATGTGGGTGTCTGAAAGGATGGAGAAACAAAACTGACAGTTCATTCTGAATTCTCACCAACAAAGTCTACCTGCTAGTTCAGTGTTTAACTAGATTACACACACCTCTGGAAGTACAAGAAACTGCAAGATGGGGCTGGAGAGATGGCTCAGAGGTTAAGAGAACTGACTGCTGTTCCAGAGGTCCTGAGTTCAATTCCCAGCAACCACATGATGGCTCACACCCATCTATAATGAGATCTGGTGCCCAGAACACTATATACATAATAAATAATTTAAAAAAAAAAAGAAACTGCAAGAACCAAAATGATGCCTGTGGTCTTAATAAAATCAATGTCACAGGGCAGTGGTGGTGCACACCTTTAATCCTAGCACTCAGGAGGCAGAGGCAGTCAGATCTCTGTGAGTTCGAGGCCAGGCTGATCTAGAGAGTGAGTTCCAGGACAGGCTCCAAAGCCACACAGAGAAACCCTGTCTTGAAAAACCAAAAGTGAAAGAAAGAAAGGAAGGAAGGAAGGAAGGAAGGAAGGAAGGAAGGAAGGAAGGACGGACAGATGGATGGGAAGGAAGTTATCAAAAGCCTCAGTTTATTAAAATTCCTATGACTCTTTCCTATAACTGATTTACCTGAAGAATGCTCCTCTGACTAGTCTATTCATCCTTTCCTACCTAACCATAATCACTAACCCTCTTCTTAGAGCTATGCTCCCGTTGAGCTTACAAAAGAAAAGCTTGCCTCTTAGCCACTCCAAATCTTCACAGATTCAGTGTGTACACAGCTCAGCTAACATCCTGCTCAAGACCTCTCGGTGTCAATAGTACAATGCGGTTTAGATTTGGAGCAGTCAGTTTTGGAGATGGCTGTACTTGGATTTTTGTTTTTTTCTCTTTTTTTTTTCTCTTTTTGTTTTTGAGGTAAAGCTAAAATCCTCCTGCCTCAGTCTTCCAAGTATTAGGGTTAAAGGCATGAACCATCAAGCCTAGCTGAGGGCAGTCACACTAAATCAAGACCCCTGAAAATAAGGATTCCTGCCTTTTCTTCTTTCTTTGAGCAGTGGAACTTCACAGTGAAGAATAATACTCTCCCACACTGGGGAGGGTGCCTGCCTAGAATGTGCAAAGCACTGGATTCAACCCCAGCACCACATGGACTGGCTATAATCCTAGCACTCAGGTAAAGGCAGAAAGACCAGAAACTTAAGGACATCATCAGTTTATAGGGCATTTGAAGCCACCAGCCTGAGCTCTGTGAAAATCTTTCAAAAGGGATGCTAAATAAATAAACAAACAGAAATAGAATATTTGGCTCCTCAATGCTTTTAATTAAGGAGTGATAACCATTTTTATTAGTCCCTTTAGTACCCCTCCCCAGTTCTTTAAAAAAGTGAATTATTCCTAAGGGAAGGTCCTTATAGGAAGTCAAAGGACCCATTGGCAAGAAATAAATAAGGCAATGGTGCTTCAGTCTGGCAAGTGACAAGCATTACTCAAAGCTCAAAATTTCATCTTTCTTCTCAGAATCTTAATCCAGAGCTAGTTATCACAGTTCTATAACCCCACCTGAGGCAAGAGCAGTATGAGTTTAAGGACAACCTGGGCCACAGAAGAGACCCTTTCTCACAAAACAAGCAAAAATCTGATACATAGGGGCTGGAGAGATGGCTCAGAGGTTAAGAGCATTGCCTGTTCTTCCAAAGGTCCTGAGTTCAATTCCCAGCAACCACATGGTGGCTCACAACCATCTATAATAGGGTCTGGTGCCCTCTTCTGGCCTGCAGGCATATACACAGACAGAATATTGTATACATAATAAATAAATAAATATTAAAAAAAATCTGATACATAAAAGAAACAGTTATGATGGAGAAGCTTACATATCTATCTGAACAGGAAAATAGAGAATGGGATCAGATTTCTCTGTCAGTATGCTTTGACGGAATTGACAACAAAGATACCCAATTAGGACTTTAAAGGGCATATTTTGAGAAAAAATAGTTAAGTATTTAAGTATATAGTTGTTAAAGATTTGACAAGAATATAATTAAAATACATCACAACAGTGAGGTGTGGTGACACACCCCTTTAACCCCAGTACTTGAGAGGCAGAGACAGGAGGACGTCTGTGTGTTCAAGGCCAGCCTGTTCTATATATTGAGTTCCAAGACAGCCAGAACAAGATAGTGAGACTCAAAAAACCAAAATAGATAGTAGATAAAAGAAGAAATATGTCACAGCATTCAGAATCTTTTCACCAAACTTGACATAATTTCATATAAAATGGCTATTGCGGAAGAGTTGCAAGAGTAGTAAAAGACTCTCAAGCATAACATAGTTATAAGATTATATAAAGGTACAGAAGAGTCAAGCACTCAAGAAGAAAGGACCTTACACTGACACACATTTGTGATTTCAAGAACATGGAGGCTAAGGCAGGAAGTTCTCAAATGTGAGGTGATCTGGACTATGTATTAAGACTCATTCTCAAAAACAAAAATGAAAAAGACTTCTATAAGGCTTACTACTGTTAAAGAGTGTTTGTTTCTATTATTATAGTTTTTGATGGAAAATGGTCATCATCAAATTCCTAGCTCCATGATGTGCTTGGCATGTAACCATCTATCCTGGCAGGCACACACATGTAAAACCTGATTTTCATAATATACATCCAAGTAAAGGCAATAATGGTTTGTTTTTTAAATGTCTATATTTTCTAATATAACAAAAATTATATTCTCTGCAATTATTTAACCTTATGATTTTCACGTTTCTTTGAGGAACTGTTCAAACTGAGAATGCTCTAAAGAGCCGTCTAGAACTGTCTGAGCAGCTTGTGAGAGGGAGAAAAAAGATGGCATTTGATTTCTGAAGACACCTCAGCCCCAACACAGCTGATCATCTACTGCAGTTCCCTTAACAAACATGCATTGGCTGTGACCATAAACAGTGAGCATTCATACATAAAGCAATTTTTTCCTATATTTGCAATTAGTCCAACTTACATACTTTGTCTTGTTTGCTTGGGTTTGAGACAATCAAACATATTTGCTTGTTTGTTTGGGTTTGAGACAATCTCCCAATGTATGTAGCCCAGGCTGACCTAGAACTATATAGACCAGGGTGGTCTTGAACTTTAGGCAATCTTCCTGCTTAAGCCTCCAGAGTGCTAGGATTACGGCATAAACCACCATACTCAGCTTAGCTCCTTTTTAAAAAGGGGAGGGGCTGTCAATAGTTTTTATCTCATAGAGTGATTGGGAAGATCAAATTAGTACACATGCTGTTCATGTATTATTATTAATGAAATTACTTATGTGTGTAATAACAATGCCATCCATCCATTCAAAATTGCATCAAAAAATATATAACATATACTATAGTGTAGAAGCTTCCAGAGAAGGTGTTTTAAAGAATGTGACTGGTGAGTCATCACACAGATAAAGCAAAAGTATTCAAAGTAGACGATGGGAAAATGGCCCTATCTTTAGGTTATATACTCCTTCAGCCACTTCCTGGTGCTCTCAGACCCTGAGCTTCATAAATGACAGGAAAAGCCCCTACCACTAAGTTGTATCCCCAGCCCTTATAATACTCTGCTCTGTAGGGAAAAGCTTAGAGGGCCCTAAAACATGGACATTTCTATAAACTACCACTTTACATGAATCATCATCTTTGACTAGACTAAAATATGCCCTATGTTTCTTCTACATGTCATTCCCCGAAGTTCAGACCTTCTCTTTCTCTCTCCATGTGCGTGTGCGTGTGCATGAGTGCACATGCAGAGGCAGAGGATAAACTCGGATGCTAACCTCACCTTCCACATTGTTTGTGATAGGAGCTAGCTGTTTTAGGTGGCTCTTGAACGTCTGTGGAGTCTCCTATCTTTTTCTCTCATCTCCCCATAGAGGCACAGGGATTACAGGCATGTGTAGTACTGTGTACAGCTTTACATAGGTTCTAGAGATTCGAACTCCTGTTGTCAGACTTGCACAGTGAGCACTTTACCCACTGGACTATCTCACTAGTTCCTGCTCTATTGTCAGGTAATTGTTTCCCCGACCAAAGCAATATATATTATTTTCTGCTATATTTGATCTGAAAAATTTTTGGTCTGTCTGTCTGTCTGTCTGTCTGTCTGTCTGTCTATCTATCTATCTATCTATCTATCTATCTACTTACATACCTACCTATCTATTGATTGATTTTCTTGGTTTTTCAAGATAGGGTTTCTCTGTGTATAGCTCTGAACGTCCTGGAACTAGCTCTGTAGGAACTAGCTCTGTAGACCAAGCTGGCCTTGAAACAGAGATTCGCCTGCCTCTGCCTCCCAAGCACTGGGACTAAAGGCGTGTACCATTACCACCCGACTTTGAAAGTGCTTTAAGTAATAAAAAGCATAAAACATTTAAAATTCTTATAAGAATAGTACATTAGCTTAGTTTATAATCATAATTCACTTTAATTTAATCTGAATTTTCTATCTAAAATGTAAATAACTTCAAGTCAAGTAACTGTTATTATAATAAATAGTTTTAGAAAACACATGAAATAATTTTCATAGTGACTGTCTATAGCATGAACAGATACAATACATACCTGTGTCTGAAGGACGTAAAAAGTCTGTTTCACAGGTGAAAAAGGTCTGGTGATCCTGGGCAGACAAGTTCATGTCATAGTAAGTAAGTGGCTCTTTACCAGTCACCCAAGTGTATCTGTAGCAAATACAAGATGTTTCAGTTGCTACAACAGACACTTAAGTTCCAAAAAATAAGTGACTATAAGTTCTATTTCAGGGTGTTTTTAAAACTTATTATATCAGTAAGAGATAAAAAAAAAAAGTTCTACTCTATGGTTCAATAATAAAACATTAAAAAAAAATAAATTGCTCATCCTGGCTTGGTGGCTCATGCCTATAAGTTTGAGGCAGCTTGAGCTGCATAGCAAGATAGCCTCAGTTACAGAATGGAGCCTGTCTCAAAATCAAGACAAACCAATACATTATTCAGTAAAAATGTTCTAAAAACTAGATACTAACATATATGTTTCCAATAGTAAGGAATTCCTCATAAAAATTTACACTAAATGGATACTATATAACAAGGCTACAGGAGACCTTGTTTTTTTTATTTTTTTAATTGATTTTTATTGAGCTCTACATTTTTCTCTGCTCCCCTCCCTGCATCTCCCCTCCCCTTCAACCCTCTCCCAAGGTCCCCATGCTCCCAATTTACTCAGGAGATCTTGTCTTTTTCTACCTCCCAT